ATATAAATATATATAAATTGAATTTTGGGAAACTTTAACAGTGCTGCCAACTTTGGAAAAAGTCATCCAATTTACTGTGTTGAGTTGGCATTGTACAGAAATGGACAGCCATACTGGTCTAGAAATGTTAATTTATTATTTTTATTTTTTTCCATGTGTACAGGGGTAACACATCATACTAAATATGTAAGGTCATATATACGTGGGTTTGATTACAGAAACTAACAAAGTATTCTCTAAATAATGAAAAAAAGAATAAGATAAGACTATAAGAGCAAGAAGCAATTTAAATATGTTTGGGGACCATTTTCATCTCCAGAATTAAGGTTTATTTTAATGTTACATCATTGCCTTTTCTCTTTTAGTTTCCTTTTTAGTTTTATTTTAGGATTCCCTATTTTTAATGTTCATACAGAGATTTCTTTAACTGAAATACCGAATAGTTTCTTTGGTGCGAAAACTATAATAGTACACAGGATCCTAATGAGATAATTAATGTGAAACAGGAAGTAAAAGGGCTAAAGGTGTAGGGAAAAGTGGGAAGGGTGGGGGAAAGGTAATAAGGGAGAGGAAAAAATATGAGAAAATGAAAAAATGGAAATAAAGTGTTTGTAAATGGGGAGGGGAGGAGGGGGTGAAGGGAGGGCAGGGACAAGGGGAAAAAATGAGAATCAAGACCTATTATGTAAAGGTACAGAATCCCAATGATGAATGTAACTGTATTGTATACCTAGATTGTACCAATAAACTCAATTAAAAAAATAAATGTTGGTAGCTGAGTGTCCTGTTAGGAGGTGATGCTTGTTTAGAGGTGGGTCACTGGTGGCCTCACCAGGAAGGGTACACGGTATAGTATTTTTCTCCCCAGCTCCTTCTTTCTCTCTGTGTTTCCTGGCCACAATGATGTGAGAAGCAGATGAACTCACCATTTCCATCTTCTATATCTTCATTAAAGCACTGATCAACTAAATTGTTCAATTATTATTTAATGTTCTTGTTAAATCAAGATTAACCTAGAAACTTGTTTAAACACTTTGAAGAATAAATTTTTTGAATGTGTTCCAAAATAATGTAGTGTATTGGACATGAATAGTGTAATTTCTCAAAATTTAAGAATGTTCAGAACCAGGGATTTAGCTCAGTGGTTCCACCGCCTGCCATGTAAGCGCAAGGACTCAAGTTCGATCCCTGGTACCAAAAAAAAAAAAAAAAAAAAATTATTTGGTTTTTTGAGGGGAAGGGTGTTCATTTTTTCCTCACTATATAGTTCAAGCTGGCCTCAAACAGCAATCCTCTTGCCTCAGAAGAAATTTTAATTAAAGTTGTTTTTTGGCTAGAAGGCTTAATAAAATAAATGTAAATCAATAAAATAAAACTTCTTGAGCTGGGCGTGATGGCACACACCTGTAAGTCTAGCACCTGGGAGGCTGAGACAGAAGGATCGTCATATATAATAAAATTAAAAATTTTTTTAAAGGGAAAAAAACATAAAACAATTCAAGGAAGAATAAAATTAAAGGTTAAAACAGAACTGAACACTATAGGGTAGAAGAATTTCCCAAGTGAAAAGGATGGCAGAAAACTTGAAGAAAGAGTATGCTCAAAGAAAACCCTCTGGGGCACAAAAGAAGAACAAAGGCATGTAATAGAGTGGTTCATACATGGAATGTGTAAAAAGGAAAACAGGTGAAGGCCAAACAACAAAAGAATAGAAAAACTCAATGTGTAGACTTTATGCTATTATCCAACTTAAAATTTATAAAGAGAATTACATACTTTGTACCTAGATAACAAAATGAGGCTGCTAAAGTTTACTCCTAATTAGAAAGCCTAATAGTATGCAAAACTAAGATAAGAAACCAATCTTTTAAAAATATTGGTTTTATCCTCTTTTATTTCCCTGTTCAAAAACTCTCACTAACTTCTAAATGCCTACTTTTTTTTTTTTTTTTTTTTT